GAGAAAGAGAGTTGTGAGTTGATGACACTCGTTACTCATGCCAGATATCTCTTCAATCTCATTATTCATCAGTGACATCTTTCTCACCCCGGTCCAGTCTTTAACAGGTACCACTTCACGTAACCCAACACCGGCTTGCACAACCCATCTTTCTCTATTCTTCCCAAGATTAGAAGCTACCCACGAAGCCATTTTACGAACCACATCGTGCATTTGAACAAACTTGGTATCGTCATCATCACTCTCCATCAATAAACCAGCACGGACAAGTGTATTGATAACTTCATTACCTCGGCTCTTGGCTATATAACTACTTCCGTATCCACCTACAAATCCTTCCACTTCCCAATATTTTATCAAAGTATCTTTACTCAACATAAAACCTGCCGGGAACAGAGCGCAGTACTGGAGACATGACTTGAACTTTCCCCCTTTCAAATTGTCATAGCTATACTTGAGAATCGAGAGAATTTCATCTTCCTTTTCTTCAAACTCTATGTGAGGTGGAGAAGTCAGAACGCGTAGTGCATGATTCCATTCTCGCACGTTCTTCTTGCAAGACATGGTTTCGCCAAGAACGTTCAGGGCCAGTGGTAGACCATGACATCTTTCAGCAACTTTTCTTGCAATCTCTTGGATTTTCGAGCGGCTTCCGTGTTCTCCAAGTTTCATCTGAAACAAGTCCCAAGCATCATTCTCTGCCAGGCACTGGACTTCAATCGGATCAGCAACCCCCATCTCCACACACACCTCTCGAGAGCGGGTGGTGAATGCTATTTTGCATTTGTTTTTCTCTGTTGGTGATGGAACTCCTATCTTTGCTAAGTCCACTTTCGTCCATACATCATCCAGTAACAACGCAAAACTCCTGTCCTTCATGACGGTGTGTATATCATTGGCCTTCTGGCTTTCCTCTTTTTGGTTCCACTCCTCCCCATGAAACCCTAGCTTCTTACCGATCTCTTCTTGAATCTTCTTGACAGGCAGATCTTGAGACACAGCAACCCAAATCACAAAGTCAAATCTGGCAGTGATCTTGTTGCTGATCTCTCGGAGAATAGTTGATTTGCCTACGCCACCAACTCCGTACAGACCTATACTTCTGGTTTCACCACTCACGAGGCCGTTCAAAGCCCTCTTGAGAACTGTTTTCCGACCAACAATATCCGGTCTAGATCTGGAGCGCCTCTTCTCCTCTGTAGACGTGTTAGTAGCCGGCTCAGCCACAGCTTCAAAAACTCCTGTAGTTTTGAGATCATTGACCTTTTTCAACACCAAAGACACTCTTTTCCCATAACCGAAGTTTGATCTTGAGTTCTTTGAACGTAACCCACTAAGAGACAACCTTTCAAGTTCAGTAGTTCTATTGCTAAGCAGATAACTGACTTGTCTACTGATGTTATTAACATTTTTAAGCCATACCTTGACTTCTGCAAGACGTTGCATGCTTCTAGTGTCCTCCTCCCTCTCGATCCTTCTCATCACATCAGTTTGTCTTGCCTTGAGCTCTTTCATGATTCTCCTCAAGACTATTAATGTAACACGCGTTGAAGCATGAAATGTAAGAAACATCTTTCAATACTTGATCACCAGACAAGGGAACAGAGAAAAAACCTCCCATGGTTGATCAGAGGAGAGCGAGAGAACAAAAAAGAAGTGATAATGTGAGAAAGAGAGTTCCAAAACAAGAAACCTGGAGATGGTTTCACCTGCACACACCGTTTAAATTAGCAAAAGAGGCAATTATTCTAGTCTTTTTAAAAATATTTTTTTCCTGACCGAAAACTGAGGTCTTGTATTGTATAATAAGCAACAAGTAATAATTTGAACTTATTATTATAGTCAAGCTGAGACCTAAAACAAACCAAGTCTCTTAGGTCTACTTACAATATTAGACAAATTATAAATTCAGTAAAATATTCTTCTCTTGAAGAATTGCACAAAACACGGATTAGGAAGTTACAAGGAAGATCAAGAATCAACGACTAAAGCCGTAAGAGTGACCACTAATGTTTATTGGTGGAGAGATGAACAAAATCAAAGAGGAGTAATCTAGGTAAAATTATAAACCATGAGAGTGTTGACCAACAAGCTTTCCTAAAGCAACTTATCTGAGAAACTATACAGTGTAAACTACTTCATCGACAAGACTTCAGTTCGGTTTTCAATCAATCAAAATGATTTTGTCTTAAATTCAACATCAAAAAGAAATTAGAAAGCTTATTGGCTTTTAAAATTTTGATTACGCAGACCCTGTATGTTCTCCTTGTGCCAACATATATGTATAACTGTGTTGTTTTGTACTTCTCAACCACAACCTAATGAGATAAAGAACAATAGTACCTAACGAGCATCACAACATACATGTTAGTGTTTAAAGGGTTTAGAGTTTATGTACCTTTGATGTAACATCCCTTGGGAAGAGGCTAAGAGCATGGCTACGCATTCCGCAGCTACAGCAAGCTCAGTTTGCAGTTTTCACCAGAGGTTCTTGCAAAAGAAAACGTAACAAGTGTAAATCATTAGCCTTCGCAAGCCATAATAATTGGCTTAAAAGCACGAACCTTAGAAGAAGAAGAAGAAAAATAAACAGTCATCTTTTCTCTCAGGTGGCCGTAGAGAAACACTGAGACTTTCCTACAAGAAAATGGAAAACGGTCCTAAAGTTGTTCACAGAGACAATTCATCATACACGTGGTATGCGCTTGGTTCCACGAGCTGTCGTTAAGACTTTGAAAGTAACAAGATCCATAATGGAAGTATCTATTATAATTTACAAACCCTAGACTGACAAACAAAACACGAATCCAGAAATCGTAGTAACAGAAACATAAACATCATCACAATTTGTCAAGTAAAGATTGTGGCGGGTAATTATAGCCGTTTCCTTTCAACGGTTAGTACCGATGTGTTTTATTTGTCTGAATTGATTTAATATATATATATATATATATACTTGTAACTACTTATACGAGACTTTTTATTTTGATTATTTATTTATTTTTTTTATTAACTTGAGGTATCCTAGGCCCATGGAGAATCCCAGACTAATTCCCAAAGGGAGGTGCAGCCCACGGATAGATCCTCTTTCCGGATATTCAAATGGGCTCTAAAGCATAGGCCCATATCCGTGGGTATCCTAGGTCCATGGAGAAGCCTAGACTAATCCCCAAGAGGAGGTGCAGTCCACGGATAGACACTCCCTCCGGGTATTCAAATGTGCTCTAAAGCATAGGCTCATATCCGTGTTAGGTGACCAGGATAATTGTGACTTAGTTTCACGCAGCAGGTGGATCGAACCTGAAACATGTTGGTGTCTCAATCTCGTCTCCTTATCATTCGACCACAATCACCCGGTCTTTTTATTTTGATTATTGCACCATTCATTGCAGATATACGTGTACTGTGTAAGTTGTCCAAAGAAATTTATTTTATAAAAATAAATTTAAGTAATAGTATTACAAGCTTACAACATATTTACAAATATTTAAGTAAAAAACCAAATTAGGTACTGCGTACTATTTTTTTTTAAAAGAAAAATTGAATTGTTTTTTGCATGGGAGAAATTATGACAATTTTCTTTGTTAAAGTTGGGAATAAATTATGATGTTAGGACAAACGAGAATTAAAACAGTTTGAAAATCAAGCTTTTCCATAAGGCAAATTTAGTAGATAATATGAGTAATCATGCAAGAAGAAATCCACATAATCATCAGCTTAGCTTTACATGAAACAGAGGTAGAGGAAGTATCATGACCCTGGTCATGGAGTAAGCTGAATGAAACATTCGCCTATGATTTCCAAAAATTTGAAATTTTTATATTGACATAGGTCTTTAAATTTATAAAAAAAAGGTTCTCAGTTCTGTAAATAACTTTTTTTTAATTAAAACCTTTACTAATTCGTTTATAGCTCCCAAAATTTCATCTACCCTGAGAAAGAAAGTAGGCAAATGCAATTTTAGAAGAAAAAAAGAAAAACCTAAATGATGATCCGGTAGTCAAGTCTTACATGAAAGTAAGATCTTGTGGCAGATGAAGTCAATTGCTCTCGACGCCACTCTTGTACTGAGCTTTTGCTCGCCAATTGTTTCATCGATGACATTAAGTCCCAATGGTAGGCCACGACATTTCCATGCACACGCATTAGCTCACACACTAATTATTTCACATAAATTAAAGTAGAAAATTGATATGATCAGTAGCTTACAAGAACGAACAGTGACGTGGAGCTCGTAAGGGAGTTAATCAAGAAAGAAGTCAAGAAGTGAATAAGAGAATTGTAATAGAGGAGAGAGATTATAAATAAACGTGAGATTGTAATCGGAGAGTTATGCATCTTGTGAGAGGTGTGTGAGAATAGTCATTGTGACTATATATAGGAGAGATATAGGGACTCTTTGTCAAACCATATTCTTGGTTTTTGAATGTGTAATAGGTGTGTTCCTGATCAGTTGTGATCTTATCAAAAATATTTAAACCTCAAAAAATTGACTTAAACCATAAAACCATGAATAATAACAAAATTTCAACACTTATTCATCCGACGGAGATAAAGTCCTGCAAAAACAGACAAGAGCACAAACGCTAGACAAAAAGGCAGAACAATAACCACTGTATGAGGCTTCTCATGTGGAGTTGTTTTAGGATGAGGAACTTGAGGAAGTCTTGAGGTATCAAGTCGCTGCAGTGATCCTCTGTTAGTACTGAAACTCCACCACATAATGTATTGATCACTCACCGCGTTCCCTGTTGCTGCAGAGAACCCAACAAACAATCTTGAACTATTTGTAAAAATTTCTGCAAGGTTGATTGGTTGTGACAAGAGAGGCCGACTTGGCTTCTTGACTTCAAGAGATGAGATCGAGACATTGAGCATCCTGTCTTCATAATCCACCCACACCTGTATTGGCTTTCCACTCGACAGGTTTATGCTTTCGTTTTTCCCTTTTGTGTCAGAATAGTAAGATGCTGAAGCTACTCCGACAGATACAGGACTGTTCACATCAATCCCCACGTGATTGTTTTTGACATCATTGAACTCAGGGTTCCAAATAGTGTCAAGCTCAACAGCAAGAACGCGAGAAGAAGGAGATGATGATTCAAGTGATGATGAGTTGAAACCCCCAAGTATCTTGTTGGCTCTGCGTGTGAGAAATCTCTTGATGGAGATACTACGAAGGCAAGACCATGGCCACCTTCATTACCTTGCATAGGCACGAGAGCACACACGAAATGCGTCGAGAAATAGGAACTGAGCTCAAGTGGTTTGTTGTAGAAAGCATGACCCATCTGATGCTCTGAAGCGCTTGTCAGCTCTAGTAATCCACTGGGAAGTACTGTTGCAGAAGCATCTAGATAAAGATTTTCTTGGGAGCTAAAGTTTTCATAGACAAACCTTGTCTCTTGTTGACTTGATGGAGAGATGAGATGAAGAGATGAGATGATTAGGATCTGAAGCAGCCAATGAGCCATATCTGATGATGAAACAGAGAGTTTGGATCTGATGTGCAAATCTGTCATCTCAAAACAATGCACCTTTAGTAACCTTTAATTTCAAGCTGGATAAAAAATGAACCAAAAAAAACGTGAACTTCTATATATATTAGTAATCAAAGTCTACCAAACTTTTTAGTACTTTTTATTTAATAACAAACTTCACATGGTTTGGTTTTCAAAATATTCCACTTTGAAACCATATTAGATCTCAACTTGAATCAAAGTAGACAACCGCGTGTGCTATATGGAGCAATAGTATAAATAACCAACTTGTTACTATCTTAATGGGAAGCAGACAAAAGATAATACTATTAAAATGACATTTTTAAAACATGGCCTTGACCTTCCGGTGTTTTGTGATGATACTTCGACACAATTATTGGCCAGACCAAACGGAAGAAGCCTAGGAAATCATGGCATATGCATGACAACTACGAACGTTCTTTAGGTGATGAATATAACAACTGATGGAAACTATAGTTAATCAGGTCCTACCTTATCAGCCTAACCCTTTAGGATATTCTTAATTCTGATCAACAGTTGCAGGAGAATACATCCTCACATGAACAACATACTCATATCACTAAACCTGATCTTTGAGAGGAGACAACCACTAAAACATGGTCATTCTCTTCTGCAACATGACTACAAAAATAATGTAATACAACGGCTGACATAATATGATAATACACAGCATAAACTGGTTGTCAGTCTCAACTACTATATTTGTCTGTCTCTCGTAGGTGTGACTGTTATCCAATCGTCGCATCATTTGTTGCTTACCATTTTCCCTCAAATACAATAAAAATTCCAACAATTTAAAACTCGTATTTCAATAATAATCATACATATTTCCGTAACCACATCCAGTTTCTTTCCCACATACTACAAACATTTATTCTATAGAGAAACTTGACTTCTGTAACAGAGATTAAATGTAAACTATGTGTTTATAATCATATCATCAAGTGGATAAACATGTTGCAAAGGGACAAACTGAGTATACTGGGAGTAGTGAAACTGACTACTAGAACAATCTTGAGAGCTACTAAGGATCTGTTTGTTGATATGAATGCAAATCAGGAATTACCTCTGACTGCTGATGCTGGAAAGATTGAACTTAAACTCTTCCGTATGCGGCATGACAGTTTTAGCATGCTGGTTAGAAAGTCTGAGTCTTGGGCTTCTCTGGTGTTGCAACAATGTGAAGAGAGTTCTTAGTCTCTATTGTCTGTCCCCATGGCTGATCTGTTGACTGACCAGCATAAGGTGAGTGGTTTGCAGAAGAAGACATCGAGGGTGCTGACCAACTCCATGAAGCGGACGAAACTACGAGGGAAGCTGCATCAACCAGAACCGGAGCAAATGTGCCGATCCCCACTGTGTACGGTGAGAAATCTGGCAGTGGCAGGTTTTTGTTAAGGTATAAGACCACTTGTTCCATCGTAGGTCTAGACTCTGGGACGATATTTGAACATAGCAAACCGAGTTTCATAACCATCTCGACTTCCTCTGGTGAGAACTCATCTCCCAGCCTTGGATCAGTGGCATCAAGCAAAGCTTCCTTCTTCCAACACTCACAAACCCATTTGATCATATGTCGTTTCTCAACTTCCAACTGCGGTTCCACTGGTCTTCTACCACAGGTTACTTCAAGCATGAAAACACCAAAGGCGTAAACATCAGTTCCAGTAGAAGCTCCCATTGTGATTATCTCAGGTGCCATGTACCCCACTGTTCCCACAGCAGCTGTTGTGGCTGCATCGCCTCCGTGTTCATGAAACCTGGCCATGCCAAAATCTCCTAACCTACCATTGAACTCACCGTCCAACATAATGTTAGAAGCTTTAACATCTCGGTGCAGAACAACTTGGTCAGCACCTGTGTGCAGGTACCACAAAGCAGAAGCAATTCCTTTAACAACCCCAAGTCTGTGTGACCAAGAAAGAACCGGTTTCGTCTCATCAAACAAATGCTCATCAAGACTACCGTTGGGCATGTACTCTGAGACAAGAAGGAGTTCCCGCTTTCTCCTACAATACCCGAAAAGTGGAACAAGATTCCTGTGTTTCAGACATCTCATGCTCACCACTTCAGCCACGAATTGCTTTACACCTTCATCACCATTATGGGAGATTCTCTTCACTGCTATTTCTCTGCCTTGTGGAAGATCTCCTCTATAGACTTCACCAAAGCCACCTTTTCCGAGGAACTCATCCTTGCTGAAGCCCTTTGTTGCTTTGTACAAGGACTTGTAAGAGAACCGATGTGCATCAAAGTCCTTCTCCCATGTTTCAGAAACTTCAGAATACTTCTTCCTCCTGAGGACATAAACTCCTGCAAGAAAAGCCAAAACCGCAACAGCCACACAAACAACCAGGATAATAATCCATGTAGGCAGATTCTTATGTGGAGCTCTAGGATGAGGAACTTTAGGAAGTTTTGAGATGTCAAGTCTATGCAGTGATCCTCTGCTTGTGCTAAAACTCCACCAAAGAATATAATGACCACTCACTGCGTTCCCTGTCGCTGCAGAGAAGCCAACAAACAGTTTGGATCTATTAGGAAAAATCTCTGAAAGGTTGATTGGGTGTGACAAAAGAGGCCGACTTGGCTTCTGGACTTTAAGAGGTGCGATCCAGACACTGAGCATAGTGCCATCATAATCTACCCAGACCTGTATAGGCTTTCCACTCAAGAGGTTCATGCTTTCGTTTCTCCCTTTCTTGTCTGAATAGTAAGACGCCGGAGCTACTTCGACAGACAAAGGAGTGTTCACATCAATACCAATGTGATTTCTACCTTCGGTATCTTTGTACTCAGGGTTCCATATAGTGTCAAGCTCAACAGCAAGAGCTTGAGATCCATTTGCTGACGCGTTGAAAGCCCCCAAGAATCTTGAATCTTGTGCGTGCGAGAAATCCAGAGAAGAAGATACTAAAAAGGCAAGACCATGGCCACCTTCAACAGGTGGCTTAGGCACCAGAGCACACACGAAATGTGTTGAGAAGGAACTGAAATGAATTGGTTTCTTGTAGAATGCCCGGCCTATTTGATGATCTGAATCGTTTGTGAGCTGCAATAATCCATTGGGAAGTACTTTTGCAGAAGCGTCTAGATAAAGAATTTCTTGGGAGTTAGAGTTTTCATAGACAAACCTTGTCTCTTGTTGACTTGACAGAGAAACCAGATGAAGAGAAGAGATAATCAGGATCTGAAGCAACCCACGAGCCATTGCAGAGGATGATTCAGAGAGTCTGGATCTGATGTGTAGATCTTTTCTCAACACAAAGCGACGCATCTAATAACCTTGCAAGCTGGAGAAAAGGTGAACAAGAAAAGGATGTGAGCTTCTGCTTCAGTGATCCAAGCCTATCAAAACGTTTTAATATTATTTTCTTAGCAAAAGGAATCATCACTTTTTTTTGGCTTTACAGAATGAACTCGATTAGCACGATGATATTAAATAATCTAGAAGTAAAGCTTTACGTGGTTTTCGAAATATTCCATTGCAGAAAATATTTTTAACGTATTATGATTACAACTTGAGTCCAAATTGACAACGCAACTGCTACACAGAAACAATAATATAATACGTGTAAGAGTCATTAATATGTGTGTGAGGTAGATCGTGCACCAACTTTTATGGGATTCGTCTTCTACTTGAAGCTATCTTCTAAGGAAGCAGACAAAAGATAATAATTCTCAGAACCATACTTTAAACATGCTTTTGACCTTTCCGACTTGGAATAAAAAATGCTCCATGTTTTGTAATGAAATTTCAACACAATAGACCAAAAGGAAGACGCCTAGGAAAGCCTGGTATGATATCATGACAACTACAAGTGTCTTTTAAAATGAAAAGTAATAGAAACTATGGTTAGGTCCTACCTTGTTTACCGAACCCTTTAGGATTTCTTAATTGAGCTCTACAGGGTGCAGGAGAATACATTTTCACATGAAAAATAAATCAAATCACCAAGCGAAGATAAGAGAGAAGAACTATAGACAACGTTACAACGACTATAACATAATACATTCTTCGGCTACTTAGAAACGAAAAGAGGGCGGGAATTGCATATAGAGCGTCTTCTTAGTTACGTTTTTGTCAATGTTGTAGCCAGACCAAGAGCAGTACAAAATTAGTTTAGTTCTCTTCTCTTAGAGGTTCTAAAATCCATAGAGGTACAATTGATAAACTTAATACCTAGCGACCAGCTTTATTTTTATGGCAGCAGGAGATAAGTATCTTAGAGAAAATTCATTAATGTGGTCAAATACCTGCTCTAACGAAGGAAGAATCCAAGAATCAGCAGGGGGATATAAGGAAATGCAACTTCAAGATATTCCTCCCACTGAGACTCTCAGTTCTTGCAATCCTCAGCTGAGAATTAAAGTCTCAACACTCGAATCTTAACCATTTTCCAACCCTTTGTCGCACACATGTCTCTTCCCATTCAAGCACACATGACAGGTTGCTCAGATTCAAACAGAGAACTACAGTGGTTAACCTTCCCCTAACCTCAATATCCAACATACCATCAGAAGCTTTGATATTTATCAACTTGGTGAGCCCCTTTACCACCAGGAAGAACCTTGTTTCATGCGATAAGCTACTCCAAGAACCAATATCACTAATAAAACGAAGCACTGTGTTGAGATTTTGAAAAGCGGTTGATCTAATACCCAAGCAGATAAAAAAAAGGAGATTCTCACCTTCTACGAATCCCTAATCAAAGGCTTCCTTATCGCGCAATGGTTCAGAATCTACGAGTGTCTTAAATGTTTCCTTTTTCCGTTCACCGGACGTCTCTATCCCGGCGAAGAATATGCACATTCTTCCCTGCGAGTGAGAACCAACGCCAATCGACGAAGACGATGGAATAAACTGATATTGACATTTAAATCCTCAACTTCTTAAAAATAAGCAAAAAAACCCTAAACTCCTAAACAGTCGATTTTAGTCCAGAACTCTTTGTTAAATCAAACCCAATAAATCATAAATTGCCGGAACTAAATCAATTCATAAATTTTCTCTTTTTTTGTCAACAATCAATTTTTTTTTTTTTTTTTTTGATTATTGCACAAATAAGCCCATTAATTCATACATTCTCTAAAACAATTTTTCACAATAATAATCTTTGCAAACATTAAAAACAAAAAACAAAAATTGTAATTACAAGAACACAACGTTTGAGCTTTGAGCTTCTTAGATTTCAACGTCCTTCTCCGTACTGAATGGAGTGAGTAATAAACATAGATTCAGTCGCTGGAGCCGAACCGTTAGATGAGCTTCCTCCCACCATAACCGAACTAAGTATCCCAATCCCCGGCGTCTCCGGTGAAAACTCCGGCAACGGAACCAGCTCTTCAAGATACTGCACAACTCTCTCCATCTCCGGTCTCTCTTCGGGAACAAGATTCGTACACAACAACCCAACTTTCATCACCAACTCCACACACCGTGAAGACGAAAAAGACTCACCACCACTACTCAGTTTCGGATCACGAGCTTTAAGCAAATCATTCCTCCTCCAACACTCACAAACCCATCTCACAAGAAACTGCTTCTCCGTCGCCACGTTAACCTCCACAGGTCTCCTCCCGCAAGCTACTTCGAGTAAAAACGCTCCAAAGGCGTATACGTCTGTTCTAGTGGAAGCTCCCATTGACGTCAACTCAGGAGCCATGTATCCCATTGTTCCTACAGCTCCCGTCATGGTTGGGTTAGCTCCGTGTTCGTGGTACCTCGCCATACCGAAATCTCCTAACCTTCCGTTAAACTCTGAGTCAAGCATTACGTTTGAAGCTTTGATGTCTCTGTGGAGAACAACTTGTGCGGCTTCTTTGTGTAAGTAACAAAGCGCTGATGCTATTCCTTTTATAATCCAAAACCTTTTGGTCCAAGGAAGAGATGATGATTCTCCTCCTCTGTTGTGGAACAAGAACTGGTCTAGACTTCCGTTAGGCATGTACTTGGAGATGAGGAAGAACTCTCCTTTGCGCCTGCAGTAACCAAGAAGTGGGACTAAGTTTCTATGGTCTAACCTTCCCATGCTTGCTATCTCGGCGACGAATTGCTTCATCCCTCGTTCTCCGTCGTGTGAGAATCTTTTCACTGCTATGTCTCCGTCGTTAGGGAGTGTTCCTTTGTAGACTTCTCCGAATCCTCCTTTACCGAGAAACCCATCTTTGTGGAAGCCTCTTGTTGCTTTGTATATGGTTTTGTAGGAGTAACGGTGTGGACCGTACTCTTTCTCCCATTCTTCTCTTACTTCTGCGTACTTGTTTCTCCTGTAGAGGTAAGCTCCTCCGAGAAGTACCAAGACTATGATTCCAAGTAGGATCAAGAGGAGAATCAGAACCGGAGAGACTTTTTTCTTAGGGTGAGGAACGTTGGGGAGTTTAGAGATGTTTAGGCTTTGTAATGATTGTTTGTTTCTGCTGAAACTCCAACCGAGTATGTAATGGTTGTTTGCTAACTGCCCTGTTGCTGCAGTGAATCCTACAAACATTCTTCCTTGGAGAATTTCTGAAAGATCGATGGATATTGAGATAAGACTCTGACTTGGCGGCTTGTGAGCTCCAAGAGGTGACAGTGAAACGTTTAGTAGAGTTCCATCGTAGTCCACCCAGACCTGGATGGAATCTCCACTCAAGAGGTTTATGGTTTTGTTCCGATCTTCTTTGTCTGAAAAGTAAGTAGCTGGAGCAGATACGTTTGAGGTCAAGCTGTTCACGTTGACACCAACATGATTGTTATTGATGTCATCAAACTCTGCGCTTTGGACAGTATCAAGCTCAACAGCAAAGATACGAGCTGAAGGAGATCTGTTTGTTGTGGTGTTGAAAAGACCCAAGTATTGAGTTGCATCTGCCTCTGAGAGATTCATGGTGGGAGATAGGAAGAAAGCTATCCCGTTTCCTCCGGTTATTCCCGGTTTACGCACCATTGCACAGACGAAATGAGTTGAGAAGGAGAGAGATTCAGATGAGTTGAACTCAAACGGCTGCTTGAAGAAAGCATGACCCATCTTCTGCTCTGAAGTGTTGGTCAGCTGAAGTAGTCCACCGGGAAGGATCTGAGCAACTCCATCAACATGAAGATCTCCTTGACGAAAACAGTTGAAGATGAAACTAGTTTCTTGTTGACTTGACAGATGAATCTGAAGAAGAAGAAAAGAGATCACCATCCAGATCAGATCCAATCCTTGAGCCATTTGTTAAATGGAGCAGAGTTTTTGCTATCTTGAGAATAAGCTTTTGTCTCTGAGTCAATGGTAATGGTAAGTAACTATCCTCTCCATCTGCAAAACAAGGTCATAATCATTGCACAACATGAAGAACATTCTGCATTTTGCCATTTCCAAGAAGTTTTAGCAATAGTTGACATAAACAATATGATAAATTCCAAAGACAGCTATCATATATTTGTCTTCCTTGTTAAAAATAATACGTATATTCCACATATCATTGTAGTTTTAAGAATATTCAAAGCCAAGGCTTCTCACTGATTGTCATACCAAGTCCTACTTTTCTTAAACCATACAGAAAGTTGATCTGTCACTATCTCTGAGTATTTTAACTCTTTAGACTGTGATCCATGGGCTGAATCATGCATCTCCTAGGATACATTCCAGGTACATGAGATCAGCACAAATAAAGATAAAAGACTAAACAGTTCTCTTTTTGACGTTTGTGAGTTCTCCAACATAATCTAACACTTCAAAGAAACAATTTCAAAACCAGATTGTGTATATCACTTCTTTCACTACAGAACACACGAGAATATGGTTGACTGATTGTCAAAGGAACAAAAAGCTGATGCAAGTACCTCATACAAAGTTCAAGCTTTTGCAAAAATCTCTGATGTCGTTAATCTATGATAGTCTTATGCCTTACATAAAGAGTGACAACAACCGATTATCAAAGTATTTAGTAAAGTAGTTACAAGAATTTACACCGAAGATCAGTCTTTATCTCATCTTTCTACCAGTCAGACCTGATGGAGAATGTAGAAAAGAACATGGTGGGACATATAATGAAACAAAAATGAAAAATCTAATGGAAAATGGTTAAGAACAGTCAATAACAAGATACCAAACATAAGAGAAGTTGATTGAAACCTTCATCGTCCGCTCCCGTAGAGGAGTGAATGAGTAATAAACATGGAGCTGTTGGATGAGGAAGTAGACAGTGATAGTGAAGGGAGCATAAGCTGTGCTTGTGAAAACGCCGTTGGAGTGAGAACTCCAATTCCGGGAGAATATGGCCAAAACTCAGGCAACGCTAGGTTTCCATTTAAGTATTGCACCACGTGTTCCATGGATGGTCTTGCCTCTGGAGCAAGGTTTGCACAGAGCAGACCGACTTTCAGAACCCTCTCCACTTCCTGAGATGAGAATTCTGTCATCCTTGGATCTACAACATCAAACAGAGAAGACCTTCTCCAGCATTCACCAACCCATTTGATCAGAAAACGTTTTGCAGCCGAAAAGCCAGGTTCCACAGGTCTCCTTCCACAAGTTATTTCAAGCAAGAAAACACCAAAGGCAAATACATCAGTTCCAGTAGAAGGTCCCATTGTTGTAAGCTCAGGTGCCATGTAACCAATAGTCCCAACTGCAGCTGTTGTGGTTGGATCAGTCCCTCTGTCATATAACCTCGACATACCAAAATCTCCCAACCTTCCATTAAAATCTGCGTCCAACATAACATTAGAAGCTTTGATATCTCTGTGTATAACAACTTGGTCAGCTTCTGTATGTAAGTAACTAAGAGCTAACGCTATGTCTTGGAGAATGGCAAATCTTCTCCCCCAGGGGAGAGTAGGTCTTTCATGATTAAACAAGTAATGATCAAGGCTACCATTTGGCATGTACTCAGAGACCAGTAATAACTCATGTTTCCTCCTGCAATACCCAAGAAGTGGAACCAAGCTCCTGTGTTTTAAACTCCTCATGCACACGATCTCAGCGACAAATTGTTTCATACCTTGCTCACCGTCATGTGATACTTTCTTCACAGCCACTTCTCTCAGGTCTATGTTCTGAGGGAGTGTTCCTTTGTAGACTTCACCAAAACCTCCTCTCCCAAGAAATTCATTTCTACTGAACCCTTTTGTCGCTTTGTATAGAGATTTATAGGAATACCTGAGTGGGCCATACTCCTGTTCCCACTCCTCTCTTACTTCGGCGTACAAGTTTCTCCTATACATATAAGCTCCAAAAAGAAGCACCAAAACTAAGAAAGCTACTAAACCAAGCAGAGCATAAAGCACCCGAGATGAAGACTTGTCTTTATTGCTAGGATGAGGAACTTTGGGAAGTTTTGAGATGTCAATCTTCTGCAGGGACGCCAAGCTTTTGCTAAAACTCCACCCGAGTACGTATTGGTTGACCATGATTGATCCTGTTGCACCAGAAAACCCAACGAACATCCTTCTTCCTTGCACGATCTCTGTAAGATTGATGGATGTTGATGACAAAAGAGGTCGGCTTGGTTTCTGTTTTTTAAGAGGAGCAATAGAAACATTGAGTGTTGTTCCTTCATAATCCACCCAAACCTGGATAGGATCTCCACTCAAGAGTTGCATATCTATATTCCTACCTTCTTTGTCAGAAAAATAAGAAGCGTTAGCAGATTTCACAGACCTTGCGCTGTTCACATCAATCCCAACATGATTTTCACTGATGTCGAGTACATCTGGAGCTTGAGCTATATCAAGCTCAACAGCCAACACACGTGTAGAATCAGATTCACTGGAGTTGAAAAGTCCAAAGAATCGAGTTGGTTGGGCGCCTATGAAATCAGTGGAATGAGACACAAAAAACGCCATGCCATGGCCACTCACGTCACCTACACCGACCAGCGCACACACAAAATGCGTTGAGAACGAGACCGGTTCAGATGGTTTGAACTCAATAGGCTGCTGGAAGAACGCACGACCTATTTGGGTTAGTGTTTCATTGGTCAGTTGCAGGACATCTTTTTTTGGAAGGATTCTTGCACCACCGTCAAGGTGAATACTCTGATCTTCTTGGTCGAAGCCATTGAAGATGAACCTCGTCTCTTGTTGAAATGATAGGCAAACACAATATATCATCCAGATGATTCCCATAACCGATCCTCGAATCATTGGGAACATAGAGAGTTATCGTTTTTTCTTTTAGCTTTTCTAATTTCTATTATCAGCTCCAAATGGTTAACAAGTTATCTCTTCCTCTCTGGTTGTAGACCCATAGAATATGACACCAGAGTCAAATACTTACGGCTGCTTTGGAATCTTTATGGTAGATAACTTTTCCCTTGGTAAGACTTTCGGACACCTGTCTAAGTCAAGACAGCAAAATGAATTCCATGAAAAAAGGATCAAGAAAAAGATATTGGTAAATAAAGTGGCTTGACGGGCTTTTTATATTATTGAAGAGGAAAATTCCAAAATTTTTATCATTGACAAGAAAAGGTTGACGGTGAAGCTGGAAACCAAACCAAAGCTTATAATAAATTGAGTGACTTCAAAGTCAAATTATTGAAATTGTCAAGTTAACGGGATTCACGTCTAAAGTCTTTTACAATATAAACTATAGGCGCAAGATACTCATTGACATTAAGATATTTGAGGATAATCTGAAGGGGATAACTTTCTCTATATACTATGCTATATATATTTATGTCAAGGTCAACTTTATATGACAACGACTATTTCAATCCTACTCTTTAATAGCAAAGAATGGCATATACTCATATCCACATTCCACAAACTTCAAGGTGATTTCCACCATCTTTCCTATTTTTCATAGCTATTTATAATATCCAAATATGAACTAGGCAAACAAATGTGATTATTAGACCCTCATATCCAATCCGTAACAATTCTAGGTTCACAAACAAGCAAACAAATATGATTATCAGACCCTCATATCCAATCCATAACAATTCTAGGTTCACAAAATCAGCTAAGGATGTCATCAGCAGCAATTAGAGAAAAGGTCAATCATTTGAAACGAAAATGCACCGAACTGTTTAGAATATATTTTCCTTTGTAAAATACTTTTTTTTTTTCAAAGAAGAAACTGAAGAAGGTCATTACCTTACCTCGCACGGGATGAATCATACATATCTCCTATGTAATAGAGTTTGCACCATGAACATATCGGCCTCCTGCTGACCCATTATGCAGATGTGAACCAAATCTACAAGAGAACAACTTTATGAACATTGTGAATAAAGTCACCCCCACAATATCAGCATCATTCTTTACCATAACAGTGTTTCCTTCTTTTATTGATATGTCTGTGAATGTCACAATCAGATAGCAAACAGCCAAGAGATTAGCACTATTTTTTTTTAAGGAACAATATTATAAGCAGAGTACAACGTTCTCATTCTATTAACAATAAATACAAGTTGACTTGAATTAATAAATGTGGAAGATAAAATACAAATCTATTCATAGTTTAGAATAACAAAAGAGAGTTGTTGCGTTCAGTCCTGAGCAATTTTACCAAAAACTAATTTTATTTGTCCATTGTCACGCTAAGAGAGATTCTAGAGATGAACTTTGTATACAAAGGAATAAAACCATAACCACAGAGTATACAACCTTTTCTCATCATATGACAATTTAAAAATGTGACAGCAAATACTTCGATATGTGCAATTTAATTATAAGAAAAAGTGACCAATCTGAAAAAAGTCCAAGCACAGGAATCACATTTAATCTCCACCACAGCTTCTTGACTAGTTTTTTTTTTATTGCTGCGAATCCCATAGATAGAGACAGCAGAACTGTTGAATCCGTCGTCACCGGGAGAAAAACCAATGCCTCTTCGAGTGGACATTACGAGGATCAATAGAAAAATGTCTGGAATTTCCCCTAAGGGTTCGTACGAAGACATAAAATTTCGTGAAATAGTGATGTTGCTGAGCGTCTACAGGAATCGTAAAACGTCGCCGGGAGCGAGAAAGATGGCTACAACTCCGGGTGGATGGAAAAAGTTATTGAATTTCGCTTAATGGGTTGGGTTTATCCGACCCGACTTCGGCCCATACAGACTAACTAACTATATGAAATTGATTAAATGTGTCCACTTAATAAAGCTCATTAATAGAAGAGAAACTCTTAACAGAAAGCACAAACAAATACCATAAGCTTGTGTAACGTTGATTTTCGTCCCATAAGCTTGTGTATACAAGATTGTATCTAAACTGATGAGTAAACGTTTGAAGTCTGTATTGCCTTGGATAATAATAAAATCGCAGGCTGCTTTTGTTGAGTATCGCCTCATTTCAGACAACATTTTAATAGCTCATGAGCTATTACTTGTCCTCCAATTCAACAACAGCTGCTTTAAGGAGTACATAACAATTAAGACATACCTCTCAAAGGCTTTCGACAGAGTTGAAGGGTCATTTCTCCGCAAGGCAATAACGGCTTTGGGGTTCTCTGATAAATGGTGCAGCCGCATAATGGAATGTGTCTCCTCAGTACAATATCAAGTACTCATCAATGACATTTCTTATGGCGAGATCCGACCGACAAGAGGGATCAGACAGGGGGACCCTCTCTCTTCATACCTCTTCATGATATGCACAAAACTGCTAGTCCAAAAGCTCATACAAGCTGAAGCTCGAGGTGCTATCCCGGGTCTGAAGGTGGCATGAGGGGCTCCCGCAATATCTCATATCTTATATGCGGATGATAGCATCTTCTACTGCAAACAGACTGATGAAGAGCTCAACAATCTGTCTTCTTTCTTCAATGAGTACAATCTCGCTTCAAGTCAAAGAATTAACTATCAGAAATCCAGTATCTACTTTGGAAAAAACATTCCACACTCTCGAAGAGAAGAGATCAAGCTGACTCTACGTATGGAACAAGAAGGTGGTGATGGCATTTATCTAGGCCTGCCGGAATCATTTGGAGGATCACGAGTCTCAATCCTGATCAGCTACCTCAAGGAGCGATTGGAACAAAAAGTTGGAGGTTGGCAAAACAGATTCCTATCCACAGGCGGTAAAGAGGTCCTTCTAAAGGCGGTAGTTCTAGCCCTACCAACATACACCATGTCTTGCTTCCTAATTCCCAAGACACTATGCAAACAGATCGCCTCCATCATGTCAAACTTCTGGTGGAAGAACAACAAAGAATCCAACGGCATCCACTGGAGAAGTTGGCACTATCTTAGCAAACCAAAGGATAAGGGGGACTTGGCTTCAAAGACCTTGAAGCTTTCAACATTGCACTCTTGGGAAAGCAGCTGTGGCATATGATCACAAACCCAGACTCCCTTCTGGCCAGAGTCTTCAAGAGCAGATATTTCAAATCAACTGACCCCCTGAATGCTACCTTAGGATCTTCCATATGGTTCATCGGCTCGGCCAACTGTTGGCGCTAATCAGTACAAAAATCGTGAAACCAGTGGCGTCCTTCGTTCCATTTCAATCGCCAAAGCGTCTACTATGCTTGGTGATGACCCTTCCAAAGATCATAAATACATCTTCATACTCTGTAACTGAAAGGTTCCGCAGTTAATGCTTTCCATCGTCCTTCACCATCAAAATGGTCTCAAATATCTATATGATCTTACATCCAAGAATTCCTCAACATGTAAAAATGGCGGCTATGAAAATCTCCTATGCTCCAGAAATACAAACAATCCAATGCTACTCGATGTCGTGATAGCCAATGCATCCTAAGAATAACATCGCAGAAGCTCAACTCCTAGAAGTCTTCAAATAAATTAATCACTTCAACCATATCTAGTACATCCCGATGAATATAAGTAGCTCCAAACGTCTATATGCCAGTTGTCCAAACTGACACATATCTGAAACGATCAACACAATCAAGAATTGGCAACCAAAGCCAAGTGAAGCTCTAATATCAACACAATGCGAGTTGCCGCATGCCAGAATTGAAAAGCGATCCCCACGAGTTTACACACCAAACATACCTCCACATAATCCATAAACTCATACACAACATAACACATGTCAACCAATGGCATATAACTCATATCACATATACCATACACTCCAGAAACAAAACTCGTGAAGCAATAACTTGAATGTGGATGGCAGATTCTTCACATGTCCACTCGCAGATAATCTCTGAACACGACCGACGAAACCGATAAATGCCTCAGCAATCTGACAAACTCTGACATCATCCATCCGTAACATGAACCTCTGGCTGGAAACCTGTTAGCTGAAGAACGGATGACGATGATTTTACCCATCGACATAAAAGATAATTAGATTAGAAGTTACTAAACGGAGAGGTGCTAGTTGTCTTTATTTTTAAAATTCCCAAGTCCCCAAAAATCATTTTAGAAATCAATAAAAATAGATAAAAAACCGATATAAACCGAGTCCTCACTGATCGCCATCCCGGGTCGGAGCCGGGATGGAACCCCGCTCTGATACCAAATTGTAACACCCGCATTTTCCATAATAATAAAATAAATAATAATCTCTGAAATCTCCATTTATTAATCCTCATAAATTGTCTTCAACACCATAAATCCTGAAAATAAAATAAATCTGAATAAATGTCGATACAGCGGAAGCATTAAAAGTAACAAAAAGAAAATAACTCGAAAACACCGGTCCGATAATGAATCACTACTGCTTGACAGTCTCACCTGAAATGGGGAAAGAAGGAGGGGTGAGTAACAGGGGAGTCACTCAGTGAGGTATGGGATGCTAGACACGCAAACCACAGACTCAAGTCAAATAGAACTCCCACTATGGAAGTTTAGCTCTAACATGAACAAACACGACACCTAAGGCATCACACAGAACAACCAATGCGATGATAGCATATAACTAATCCATACACCCCGCATACTCCTCATAAGGATATAAATATATACTCGAAGCGTCGCTAGTACAGTCTGTCTCTGTACCCCCGCCCAACCGTAGCGTCGAATGCAAACGTCTCTGCATCACGCCCCAGCCAGTAGCGTCGAAGCTCAAACATCTCTGAACTCACGCCCCACATCGTAGCGTCGAAGCCCGGACAGCTCCGAACTCACTCCCCACACATAGTCCCTACTCATAACTATGTATAATACATATATGTATATAGCATCACTTAGCATCAAACAATCCAAACCATAGTTGAATCCTCTAGACCCCTAGTTCCGGTTACAATGAA